AAAAAAAAGAAAATAAATACCACGTTTCATCATCTTTAAAGTTCATTTCTTTATTTTGAAACGATTATATTCTTTCTCAACTGAGATAACATTCCTTGTTTGCTTCATCAGTGTCAATGATGAGTACGTTGCAATTCCTAAGCCATCACGCCTGCAATAAAAGAAAAAAAGATGGCAGTTTACAGCCTTTGTAATACGTCTGTATTTCATTTATTATGACTAGGCACAATTTTTAAAAAAGATCACAATGTTTTTCGATGTGTAATGCACGTTTTGGTATCACTCAACGTGAGTCATACCAAAACATGCTTTACGTCAGCTACAAAGGGCATTTGTAAAACCGTTTGACCTTATAAGAACCCAAGAAAGCATGCTCCATTAACTATAATTACATTCAAAGATAAATAACAAAGAAAGAAAGTGTGAATAATAACAATGGCTAAAGCGTAAGTGCTGAATTGACGTAATTGAATTGTTGATAGAATAAGGCTCTTCCCAGTTAACGTGTTTAACCTTCTTGGGTTTGAGTCTAAATCTCGAGGAGACAAATTACGGCGAAATTTTGTCTGTCTTGGTTGCGTTTCGCCCAAGGAGATAAACACACCGTAGCAATATAATGTTTTGTAGGCATCCCGTGATGCTGTTGTTGTTGCTCGTTGAAGCCATGATATACAGGGCATGTAGTTTGTTATTTAAGTAAACTTAGTTGTCTTAGGTCGGAACTCAGTTTACAAATCCTAACCATCAGACCACTCGCAACAGTTCTGATCCCAGAGCGAAACATAATTTAACTATTAAGATGATGGTAGAGGTTACGTAATAAGGAGATTCCCTAAAACAAGATATACGTTAAGCAACGAGAGAGCTAGACCAGTATAACTTGACTAGCTTACCTCAATAAAATTCATAGACGTAGAAAGTGTTAACTTTCCCGACGTTGTTCCAGCAATCTGTTGATGGTCCATGCAAATTATATGTATCCTTTGCTTTGTTTCCAGTCCAGCATTCTCCGTAGAACTGGATACCAAACACTTTGTTCTCAGGATAGTTGTCGTGGATGAATTGTGCACATTTTTCAATGATCTCGCTGATTTTGGTCCAATCAATATTTGAACGAAAACTTTTCACAAAATTCTGGATAGCGTGTGGTTCACCGTCATTAAAGCAGCCAAGACCTCTATACTTAAACAATGGCGCGGGAGCTGCAAACGGTAAATTATTCATTATAATTTTGAAATTGATATGTAAACACATAATCGAAATACCAACTATTGTATGCGCTGCGAAGGGAACGCGCTGCTGTCAGTTTCACGGGGTAACGACTTTGTATCCTCTTTCTTAGGAGATGGGAAAAATGAAAATATGGCAGACTGGTGGTTTTGCTTCGGATCCGCACGTTGAGACATATCGCGACAAATAACGTGGCAAAAAATAATACAAATAAAAATATATCAGGAACATAACATGAATGCAGCACATCAATCTCAATGTATGGAAAAAACACGATCCTCCTTATGGTGAAAAAGCTATTTAGGATGGGTTTCCATGTCTCTAGGTGATCGAAATTGTTAAATATTCATATCCCAAGGTGGTTTTTCCATCGAGAATATTACGGTACATTTTATTTTTACGCGAGAGGTCTGCACCAACATTACTATCAGAGATTAAGTGAGGTGTTAAACAATGGGATTGGGCAAGTTACGCCTCCGAAAAATTTGGAGCATTGACCATGCCTTAAAGCTAGTCCGTTTCAAAACATGCCGCTTATTGCATGTTGCATAAAATGCCAAACACTACTTATTATGCTACAGAGTTTACCTTCATAACTTATCCCATTAATTTAATTAGCACAAAATATATTTCTCTGTTATGTGAATATAAATCCAGAATAAATTATAATAATGATTTACAATTACAGTCGACTCCCGATAACTCGACCCTTCTGGGGAAATAGTAAAAGGTTCGAGTTATCGGGAGTTCGAGTTATCGAGGGTAAAATTATATAGATAATGGCCTGAAGGGAAATGAAAATTACTTCGAGTTAGCGGGGGGTTCGAGTTTGCAAGGGATCAAGTTATCGGGAGTCAACTGTACATCCGAACAATGAGTATCTTACTTGGACAAAGCTCCATATTGCACTTCATTGCGGTCGGTGGCTTAGTAGCATAATAACAGAGAATCTCAGGAGCTATCACCAACTTTCCTTTGTCATTTAGTCGCTTACAAACGAGATTGCGGCTCTTAAATCCTCCGCCACACGTTGATGAGCACTGGAATGTCAAAAAGTAAAACTGTGAAAAATAATTCTACGCCAAATTTAACATCTTTTAATCTGTGTGGAGTTAAGACAGACTGCTAGTTTTGTCTTAATTGTCTCCTATCTTTTGATCAGTTTAATCTGCCATAAATAGCTTCCAAATTGGAATGAAAAGTTCGAAGAGTCATTTAAGGTGTCTCAATAATGTTGTTGTTATTTTTCTGAACCGTAGCATTTGCAATCAGCTTTATACCAGTCTTACCTTGATCGTATCGGTTGTTGGAAATAGATTCAATTTTCTTGTCATGTACTTCTTTTAGGATAAACAGTAGAAACAGATTTTTTTTTTCTATTCCCGCAAACTAGATTGTAAATTTTAGTAATGTCACTCCTGCTATAACATTTGGGCAATTATCGATTTCGAGCATTTTTTTTAAACGCCTTGAAAATTGCTACATAACATATTTTTGTAACATTCAACACCATCTTGATAGTGCAAAGAGTCTTACTAGTAAGTTTTATTAACATTGATTCTCTGAAACCCTTTGAAATTTCACCAGAGGGCATTTGAACGCCGAGGTAAAATAGGGAAAACGACAGCGCGGTAAATTGCAACGTAATTTATCTATCACCGCGGGAATGTAGTACACTTTGAATATTTAGCATAATATTATAATTCGTAAAATTGTGACGCAACGTTTTCGTAGGTTAAAGAGTCTTCCTTACTGCTAAATTTTAGATCGTCGGTTGGCTACAAAATAAATCGTTTCTATTTTCTATTATCTGAGCTTTCTAAATTAACCAAATACGACGTGTCGTTTTCAGATTTTTGAAAAAGCGCTAAAAATTGCTCCCCCGCCCCCCCAAATAAATCAAGCTAGTATAGGAGTAATGTTATGAAAAACTCTCGCCCTCAGGATCTCGCAAAAAAAAAGAAAATAATAATAATTATAATAAAAAAACTTTTATGCCATAAAAACGTAGCTTCAACAGACGTTTTTGGTGTTAGATATATTTTGATGCAATTCCATCAAAATAGGGTTCATCTGTCCGTCAATTTAGTATTGCTGATATTATGCTGGTAATTATAATGGTTTAAAAAGCTTGTGTAATTGTCGAAATCAAACGTGCTGCAGTACTTTTATTTCTTGAGTATTACATGTTCTATGTGCCATAGTTTGATATATTTATTCAAAAATATGGCTCTTGCAAAATTCAAGTTTCTAGCTCATCGTTTCCATGGAAAGAGTGCCTTTTTAAAAGTACATTATACCAAATGTTATTCTATTTTCTCAACTACCAGTATAATCGATTCCAATGGTTGACTCGGGCTGCGTCCTCGTCAGCTATGACGTGATAGAAATCTCGAAGTCATGATCTAATTGTTAGTGTAAGTTCCACATCCATCTGACTAAAGAAAGAGTGATGAAAAACTGATTGAAAATGTTGGGAATTTATCAGAAAAAAAAACCTTACCGATGCTCCAGTGAAATTACTTGCCCATTTTTGCCTTTTCAAGCGATAACCATATGGAAATTATTAAGACAAACTTTTTAAATACACTGTAAATCAGCACCACCGATGATCTTACCTGTGACCAGGCGGTTGCCTTCCATTCCACGTGACAAATGATCTCATTACAGCTTCTTTTCGTACCTCCCGAAGGCTTGTCACCACTACAAGAAGAGTCCGGCAGGATCTCAAACTTGGTTTGCGAAATCTTTCGGCGACAGCGAATTTGACGCTTTTGCACTCCTTTGCCGCAAGTTCTGGAGCAAGAACTCCATTCTGATATGTACCAACTTTAAGAAAGAAAAAAACAAGGTTAGGTTAAATTGCATGCAGGTGGATGAGTAATCTTGGTCTAGATACTGGAGGCGTGCATTGTTAAGAAGAAATGCAGTCCTTCCAGTTTTATTCTGTCCCCTCCACACATTATTTCAAATTTGCCTACATATAAGCCCCTATTCGAGCGTATCTCGGATTCGAAACCTTATATTAGCAACGGTTAGTAATTAGCTTAGTCACAAGATTAGTATTTCGTTAAAAAACTGTTCAGGTCTGTCGAGTCAATAAACCAGGCAAGAAATGGGTTTGAAACATCATGTTAAGGTAACCCTAAGAACTAGAATAAATATGCAAAACAACAACAACAAAAAAGCTTGCGGAAAAACTATACTGCACGAACTAATTACGCCACTGATCACCGGGAAACTGACGTCCATCGGGAAAAGCCATGTTTGTCCTGGTTCAACAGCTATCTAACCGGTATGCTTCGGCCACAGACATCGGTATTGGCTGGCGGCGTTTCGATCATGGGTTAATCAATCATTACATACACAGTTATTCATATGTCAACGTTCCTCCAAGCTACTTGTACTTAGGAATAGCAAAAAGAGGTGGTCAAGAAATCTTGAAGCTAGTGTTGCAGGGGTTAAATTGCCTTTAGTTCGGAAAAACTCCATGAGGAGAAAGAAAACCGTTGAGCTTACACAGGCTGGCATGGATGGGTGTTGCACGACCTTTCTACTGCTGGTTTTCTTGACTTCTGTAAACACAGCTTATGTCCAACGTAAGATCCATCATCGATTCTTGTACATTCCACTGTTCGCCTCTCCTTACCTTGAAAATCATCACAAATAAAAAAAATATATAATGTTTATATAAATTATAAATACGGCAGGTACGTGACAAATTTTTTAAACTGAAAGAAAACAATTTTTTATATACACCAGAAATCGGGTGGAAACAATGAGATCAGCAATTTGTTAAAACTTTATTTTTATAAATGACGGTTGTTTTTAATCCTCTTTTAGCTTGTTATATTTTGGGTACGAGGTTGCATCTCCTGCGGGTGGGACGGAATCATGATGTGTATCATTCTGTTTTGACGGTTAACTGTCCTCAGCTTTACTGGGCTCAGTACATATTTCTTGAAACACGCATGTTTGTGATGATTTGTGATAAATGAGATACGCTATTTATTGATTAAACCAGCTTTGGGCCTTTGCCTTCAGCCATTTTATTAAGTCTCTCAATATTTGCGTTTTTATGGGCGCCCAGTAAACGAGCGTGGATAATGGAGCCCAATGTTTTTACGAGTTTCAGCTTAAATGGGAAAGAAAAAGAACATAAATCATGCATTTGAAAACACTCTTGAACTTCTTTAGACGGTCATCATAATCATCATCATCATCATCAAAATCAAATCTTTATTTTCTCATAATAATAAATAAAATAATGTAATAAAACTTAATGATATCTTTAGAGTTAGAATGATTAACTGAATTAAGTTATTTTTGAGCTCTGTACGTTGGCGCTGGACCTGAAGGTTAATGCCAGCCTTGCATATTACGACTTAACGAATAGACCTGGCCTTATCTCAAAAACTACTTTGATTCTTTTAGAAAAATCCTCGTTTACCTGTGGCACATTTCCTTGAGCATTCACCCCAAGATGTTATGTTCCACTGAACATCCTCGACTCCAACACTAGAAATCAAAGTCGGATCATAGAACTCGTACCACACTCCCGTCTTTGGGTAGCCAGGAACAAACTACAGAATGGAAAGACATATTTAGAGTTTTAGAAAATAATGTTGCTGTAATGTCCCCGTGTTGCTGTTTGGCGTAACATCACATTTACAATTGTACCGTTCACATTACACGTGTCTTTAATGGCTCATAACAGCACATAAGCGGATTGTAAAGCAAATCCACGATCAGCTCTACAACACCCAATTTTTAAAATGAGGTAAGACAATCTTACCTAGACTCTACCTCATGCCCCCTATCAATATTGTATGAATTTAGAACTACATACATTGAAAGAGAGGTCTGAGGTGGACAGAATCAAGGGTTCTTTTTCCCATTTTCACTCTATCGCGTTCTTTCAAGATAGATGTGATTCTAGGGTTTGTTTCAGCAATGTTGCAGGTGGCTCTAGTTTTTAATTTCTGTCATTCAGGAGGAATTTCATGTACGACATTCAGAAATCATCAAAAAAAAAAATCATTGTTAATGTCATTTGCCCTCAGCATGATTCCTTCACATGAGCCTTTATTGCAAGCCGGTTTTAGACTAGTTCAGGTATATCCTCCCTCCTCCATTTGATATTTTACATCACAATTGTGAATCCATCACTTTCCGTATCACTTACCACTATTGTTAGTTTTTCAGTAGTTGGCCCTGGAATGTAAACCGTGTTTATGTCGATGTCCTTTTCGTGATAGTAGTGGATCTCAGTTCCTGCCGCGTAAACCGTTTTGCTCCATGTAGGTATCGGTATCACATACCTATCGTCTTTGTCCTTGATACCTAATATATTTATCACATTTCTAAATGAAATTACAGTTACTAAGTCGTATATTGCAGGAAATGAATTTAACTCTATATATTAATCAATCAATAATTCAATCAATCAATCAATCAA